AATATTGATTTTTGAGGGTAATTTTAAAATATTTTCTGACTTAAAATATAACATTGAAAAGTCAAAAAATGCTCTATTTGCTCAGCTTAAAATTCAATATAGGGCCCGTAAGAAAAAAGAAAGTTGATGATGGTTTCTCACAACCGAAACGTCGCAATGAAAATCTAAATATGCAGTGAAACTCCTCGAAAAAAATTTGCTGGGAAAGAGTGTGTTCAGATTTTAAAAATTCCTCTAAATTAAAAAGTTACAGCCGATTTTCGAAAATGTACATTTACTTTTTTCAAAGTAACTCAAAAACGTGAAGAGCTAGGACCGGTCTGCAAGCGCCATTAAGTTAGCAGCAGAACTGTCTAAAACTTTCTCCATTTAACTATTTTCCTATCTCTTATAGTTTTTAAGATACCAATACATGCATCACCAAAATGATCCACACTGTATGTTTTGTGGTGGGGGTATAATTATAAATATTTCCGTAATTATACCGAATTAAATCGGACATAGACTTTAGAATTATTTTGAACAAAAATTTTTTTTTTCTTAAAATATTTAAAGGAATATTTACTATCTACAATTTTACTAGATATTTCTAACAAGACTAATACGAGTATTAACCGTTCAAACAGCATAATATAATGGACGCAGTGCGCTTTCTTGTAACCATTTACATTTAATGAAACAAATTTACTTGTGTTATTATAATGCAAGCTTCTGTCTATATAAATTTCACAACGGTTCAATATAAAAAAGTGCAGCTTGCATAGTGCTAGATGATTACTAATTTTAAAATTCGCGAACAACGAGTAGGGAACTGTTGAATGAAAAAACGTTTGTTTTAACGGTTACGTAGAGGGTAAAATTTGCATTACCAAGCTACAAAAACTAACAGGGTTAATAATACGTTAGGGAAGATGAGAAATATTAGGTTGTAGGGGACATTCATTAACCTGGGATAACTTTAAAACCATTTGCATGTCTGGCTGTTTTTATTGTGTATGCTCTAAATGCAGCAGATGTTTTTATGATTAGATATATTTATAAAGATAAAGCAATCGTTCTAAAGAATAAAGAAATTACAAAAAAAATGAAAATAAATAAAAATTGTCATAATCTCAAAAATATACCTACTTGAAGAGTCAATTTTTTCCAATAATTTTAGATTTTAAAAATATAAAATAGGGAGCCAACGGTAGTTGTTTTAACTGATGACTATGAAATGTTTGGTCAAATTTATTCAATCAAAAATGAGTTTCTTACTAAAAAATTATTATTTTGATCAAACCGATATGTTAACTTCGTAAAATACGTAAAACAAGTTATGCCAAATCAATTTTGTGAAATAATTTTATGCTTTATTCGTTATGGATAATAAAAATTTGAAACAAGTTATTTTATAATTTTTTGATTTCTTGAAAAACTTTTTCATATATTTTACAAGCAAAATTATATTTTTGAATTAAACAAAGGATGTGTAGCCACATATCAATAAAAACTTTTATAATAGCTAGCTTGATTCTCATACGTATACAGGCTGTCTTACGGTGACGGCCCATTAGAATATTTCGGAGACTTCGATATCAATTTTGAAAATTTAGGCTATGGAGTTTTCGGGCTGCTTTCTTTAAATAAAATAATGTAGTTATTATCTACTTGCTTATTTTAAATGGAACACCCTGTATATTATACCGGAAGTCGCCATCTATTTGCTTATTTTAAATGGAACACCGTGTATATTCTTACGTTATCGATAAGATAAATTAAAAATGATAAAGCTTGTACCTAAATCTAAACGTTTTCGAGATAATCGGTATTTTATAAAAATTTTGACAGATGCAAACGTTTCGAAAATTCCTTATATTTTTCTTCGTTCTGGAAGCTTTCACTTGCTTTTCGGAACACACAAAAAACTTAAGATGCACTACCTTAAACTATCAAAATCACCTGAAGAAAATTATACAAGTGATGGATTTTTTACGTTACATATTGAAAACTTAAAACCGACAAAACTTTTTAAATTCAAATGGAACATCCTGTATTCTACAAGTATCAAGTATTTTGCTCTACAAGAAAAATGCAAAATAATTATTCTATTGAAGATATTTTGAATTTATTTTATATCCATGGAACATTCACCATGAATCAGTATTATTAGCAGCATTTCTATGATTTGGTATTTTGCAACATTTGAGGAATTGGACACGAATGAAATTCGGAGAGCTACCACAATAGCGGCTTTGTAGAGCATTGAAATATTATTTTAATTATTTATTTATTTTTTTGATAATTACATTAATAAATTGCGTCGTTTTAGTTTGTTGCATCTTTTAAATAATAAGGGAATATATATTTACAAAAAAATAATATTTTCTTTCAATGTGATGCTATTATTAGTAGGTAACTGCAAGTACAATAAAGAGCAAATAATAACCCTTCATTAAGAAAACAATTAAATGTAAAGTAAAATTTTAAATTATAATATTATTTCTCCTTTCAACTCATTCTAAATGTCATAAAATTATCTGATATTAGTTATTTGAAATTATTTTTGTTTGCTATTCTTTAGAAATTGTCAAACCATTAAAAATTAGAGAAAAATTCTAACAATTCTGGCAACAGAATTAATGTATAAATGTATAAATGCTGAACAATTTCTATCCGAGAACAATGACTTTCTAATAATGTTTTAACTTAATAAACATTCATTGTGAACCCAGCATTATAATACGGAATATTAGTAGAATTAGTGGATGATCTGATATTTATCTTGTTATGTTTTTGTCAAGTTTTTTTTTAATAATAATAATTACTATTTATTTACGAAATGTTTTAGCTTAGACCTAATCCTGTGATTAAATTTATATAATATTTGTGCTTTAAAACGATATGATTTTAGTTTTCGTTATCTTGTTTACTTAATCTCCTATATTTATAAAGGGTTCTTTATTATCATTTCTTTTCAGCTTTGTATTTATGAGATTAGGGGTTTTCTTGGACAATAGCAAAAATATTACTCGTATTTTCATACGTAGGTATGATGGGGAAATGCAATTTAAAAAATATAATTTCTATAACATTTATTTTATTAACACAAATTCAGTAAACTAAAATTAAGACGAGAATTCAAGTTCCAGTCGACTTTAGTTTATTAAATTTATTACATTTTATTTTCCATCATAATTTATTTGTATTGTGTTCTATTTAAAATTGTGAAGTTGATTTCACGTAAAAAAATAAAATAAAATTAGATGAATTGATTGATTGCGGTATAAACCAACAAATTGCATTTCCATTACCGTAAACGCATTTGAGTGGAGATATAGATTGCCTGCCTAAAATTTCGTGACTATATGTTTTAAGCACAATTTCGATTTGATCCCCCTGAGAAATTTACCCCGTAAGTACCTACATATGTTCAATATTAAATTAATAAATTTTTTCCAGAAAAAAGTAAGGTATCTTTTTATTTAATAGTTTTATACTGTTTTAAAATAAGTAGTTAATAAAATAATAAAAAGGTCTGTTAGAAATAAATGTTGGTACACGTTTGGACAAATTGGCCAATATCTTTTTAAGGAACCATTTGAAGCATTATTAAAAATTTCGGGGTTAGAGGTTACAATAGAGTCATTCCACGTTTTTCTTGTTGATTTATTAGTTTTAAGGTATTTGATATTTAAAAATAACAGATCAGATATTTTTTTAATTTAAAGTAGCGACTCTTTTACGAAAGAATACTTTTGAACTTTAGAGAAGTGTACATAATTTTCATAAACTTGTTAGTGACCCAGTTTCAATCTGTCAGACCTTGGAGGCGGATAGAACAATTAAAAATACTGGTACTTTGTCTTGTGAACTTATTTCGAAGTCTCAACCGTTTTCAACTCTCAACCGTCCCCTCAAAAAATCATTAATTGCAAATATCTTTTAAAATAATAGAGGTGTTTGAACTAAATTTAGTGTACGTTAAATAAATGTCCTAAGTCGATGTCACGGATATTTTTGTAAATTCAATAAGTTTATTTGATTTCCAGTTGCATATCAAAAAACATATCTTCCACTCGAAAAACAAATAATTTTCGAGTTATTACTTGTTTATTCTAAAATAAACTATTTACATACAACTGAATAAATGGATCATAATTAAAAATGAAGACTGTTCATTTTACAAAAAATATAAAAAAATGGATAGGAATTTTTAATACAAGTACAATTTTAAATGCAATTGTAGTCAAGTTCGTATAATTTAATTTCGTAGAAATTTGTCCCTTACCACATTAGAAAATTTAACAGTTTTAGAATTATTTTCTTTTTATTCAACAAGATGTTCTAGAACAAATTGATTTGGAAATTGGAAATAAAATGTACTTAGCAAATTTACAAAATATTTAGTATCGTCCAAATTTTGTTATTAATGACGGTGTCTCCCGGTATCTCCGTCACTGGTTGCGTAAGAGGCTTGAAGTTACAGTATTTTATGGAGACTTGCTCCAACATTATGTATATTATTTTAGTACAAACACCTTTATTACACTAAAGGATTTTAAAGTACTAACTGAAATTTTTAGGGAACCTTAACACTCTGGCTCGAAAGCGGCTGAAATTTCAAAAAATGTTTATAAGACAAAGACCAGCATTTGTAGTTATTATGACCGCTCCCGAAGTCTGATAGATTGAAAGACATCCTGCGTTTGTATCTATCGATAGAGGGTTCTACTATTTATTTATTAAATAATTTCAATTTTCGTAAAAATCTTTTTTCTCTCTCGGTGTTTTGTTATCTGAAGATGTTCCCTTATAATTTTCAACCGCTCTTGTAATATTGTAATGAAATATAATGAAATCAAAATACCTTTGATGTTTAAATTCGTTACCTAGTTAAATAAATATCTTTCAGTTCGAAATGTCAAAATTTTTGTTATCAAAATTTTATTCGTATTAAGCAAAATTTTAGTGTTAAAATTGGTGTAAAATTCGAATTTTTATAAAACAAACTATTCACGATGGTGTTTGTTTGTCCAGAGAAAAGTAGTGCGAGAAAGTCTTTGCTGACAAAACTAAAAGACTTAGTGAATAATATCGACGACAAATGCACCTCTTGCCCCCCCTGCGGCCCTTGTTGTCCACCATGCCAACCGTGCGTAAATAGTTGTATTGGACCTGTAATTGAAATATATGATCCCTTACCAAAACCTTGTTTACCTATTTGCAGTCCGTGCGCGCCTTGTGGTCCCTGTCCATCTCCTTGTGGTCCTTGTTGCCCATCTCCGCCTCCAGCATGTTGTCCAGGAACGTGTCCACCTCCATCAGCTCCAGTTCCTATTTGCTGCCCCCCCTCGTCGCCCCCAGTATGCGTACCACCTATACTACCAATATGCACTGCGGCACCTCCACCTTGTGTCCCTATTTGCAATCCCTCTCCCGAAGAACAGCCGTGTGTTCCTTGTAATCCTCCTCAAATGATGGTCTGCTACAGAAGACCACAGAACGGTAAAAAAGAACCAAGATCTAAATCACGGGAACTAAGGGCAGGTATTTTATATAGAGGATGTGATTGTGAAAAACGGAATGGTCTACAAGATGATTGCCTGAGATCTGAATGTCAAGGATCCCCAGACTGTATTAGTAAACCGGATCCTACTTGCGGCCCCAGCGAGTTCTCAAATGGAAAACATCTGGGTCAAAACAGCAATGAAAAGAAAAATAATTTAGAGGAGTATCAGTGTTACCCCGCATACATAAAATTACCCTCATGTCCCCCATGCGGGCCTAGCCCATCACCATTTGGGCCTTGTCCACCACCATGTGGGCCTTGTCCACCACCATGTGGGTCTTGTCCACCTCCATGTGGGCCTTGTGGACCATGCCCGTGTGGGCCATGTACACCATGTCCTTGTGGGCCTTGCCCACCACCCTGTTGTCCTGTTCCACCATGTGTCCCATTAATTGCACAAGCTCCATGTCCACCTCCAATTATACCATCTCCCCCACCTTGTGTTCCAGTTGGTCAAGTGGTTCCAGTAGCTCCAGCTGTACCATGTCCCATTCCTTGTGCACCACCTATAACTTGCTGTCCTCCACCTTCTCCTAGTCCACCTCCACCTTGTCCCATACCTTGCTATCCTCCACCGTGTTGTCCCCCACCTTGCTGTCCCCTGCCTTGTTGTCCTTGTCCTTGTTAAGTGTATGTATGTCAATAATTATTTAATTAAATACATTCATATTCTTGTAATTTTGAGTATATTTATTTTTTTTTGAAAATGTGTATTTACTTATCATTAAAATTAAAACGCACTTTCTTACTTTTGTGTTCTTAGAAGCATGTATACGTGTACAGAGCTACTGTTGTAAATATTACTGCTTATGATTTTCCAATTTTTAAGTATGACAAAAATATTACATAGACAAAGTACATTTACGTGAATTAAAAAAAAATAAAGGGAACGTGATGGTTTAACAGACAATTTTTATTTTTATTCAGTAGTTACTTAAAAAAGATTTCATATCTATCATCGTTTCCTATAAATATGTGTACCTATGTGCTCTTTAGTATTCAAAATGTAAATTATTATAAATACAGTGTGGCCTATCGAAAACGTACCATAGGGCATACCTGCCAGGAAAAGGTCTTATCGAAAAAATGCTAATCGAATTTTTTTTTTTGTGAGAGGGACAACTTTTGACGTGAAACTTATAGTCCAAATTTCATCGTCCCATGTAGTCCAGTCAATGACCATTTTCCCGTATAATTTTTCCAAACAGCACCGATTTTCATAAAAATTTGGATTTAGTTTCTACTTATCCTCTACATCAAAGTTGACCTTGTACAAGGGGTTGCTTTTACCCTGGGGGTGGATGCCACCCCTTCTCGGGGGTGAAAAATGTTTCATTAAAAATAACTCCTGGATATACTGACTAATTCTAAGCAACTTTTGTGCTATAAAGTTTTTTCTGAAAGTCAATACTTTTTGACTTATTCGCGAGTGAAAGTGTAAATTTTTTAACCAAAAAAACACTTTTTTCAGACAGTTTTTCGCGAATAACTCAAAAGTAAGTATTTTGTCAAAAATCATTCTTATAAAAAATGTAGCTTATAAAAAAACAAAAAGAATGGCGTGTTTATGCTGTAGACCCAGTACAAGCGGAGTAATAACTTGTTGAATGTTGGTTCTTATTCGTCAAACGCCAAAAGTTTGAACGTGAAATAACCAAAAACCAATGCATTTTTCAGGGAATACTCATGGAACCTTTTTTAAAGTGCTTGAAAAAACCTTTATTTTTATTTTAAAAGTTCTTAGCATCAAACCTAAGCGAGTTATGCCGAAAATAAAGTTAAAAAAAGAAAAATAATAAATAATCGTTACCACTTTACAATTTACTTTATGAGAATTTTTGTATTTTTGGAAAAAATTGTCTTCAAAATAACTCAAAAACTATTAATGATACGCAAAATTTTGTAGAGGAAAAAAATTGTAGGTTTTGCTTTTTGAAAATTTAACCCTTTCAGCTCAAATCCTTACAAATTTAACTTATTTGATCTTATAGCCCTTGAAAAAACCTACAAAATGGTTTTTTGAAAGGCTTGATAGCATAAAAACTAAGCGAGTTATGGGTAAAAAACCAATCACATATTTTTGCAGATATCAGGACACGTATATTGAAGCATTGATGAATACATATTATAGCCGTATTTTAGGCACAGACGTATTTACATCTATTCTACTCTTCTGCATTTCGACATGTATGTATAACATGTAGCGGAGACGATTGTCTAAGTAGTGCTCCAATTATTATTGATCAGGAGGACTACGAGGAGGAAGACGAAGATGAGGCGAACGTGGAAAAGAATGAGGACGAAGAGGAAAAGGAAGACGATAGTGAAGAGGATTTTTAATTATGTATGTTATTTGCAAGAAAAAAAAATTTTGTTATAAAAATAAAAAAATTAAAATCCATATAAAAATAAAATTCTTATTTTCCCTATTTTTGAGTGCAAATTTTAATCAGTAGGGTTTTTTTTAGGTTTAATAAAATAAATGCATTACATTTTAAATAATAATGTATTATATATTTTGAACTAAAAAAAATTTTTTAACTATAATTGTTCGATTTTTTTTGCAAGGCGTGGTTTTTATAAGGGTTGAAACTTATAAATAAATAATAAAAAAACAGCAAAAAAATCTTAATTTAATATCACTATATGATTAAATTATTCCAATTTGCTGAATAATATTTTTCAACATTATTTTTTTAATGAATACTCTCATAGGGGGTGGTTTTTAGGGATTGATAATTTTCAATTCATCATAATTCCTTATTTAAAGATGATTTCAACCTATTTCAACGCTCGAATCTACAATTCTATAATTATTTTCGAATAGGGGTAGTTTTCACCCCTGAAAAATAAAAAGCAACCCCCGGCACAGGGTCAACTTTGAAGTAGAGGGTAAGTAGAACCTAAATCCAAATTTTGGTGCAAATGCTGTTTGTTAAAATTATACAGTAACGCCGTATTTTACTTTCAATGACTGTACTAATGAGGGATGGTATCTCCCAAAATTTTTCAAATGAGACTGGGGGTTAATTAATACGTCAGTCTATATACACTGCGGCTCAGTTTTTGAAGTTCAGTCAATTCGTTTAAAAGTTACGAAGTTTCATTAATATATTCACGAAAAATGTAAAAATTAAATCGATTTTATTTAAACTGAAGGAATTTTTATTGTTTTTGTCGTTTCTACAATCACACATTCCTGCAGATTATTTCGGCTTGTTCGTCTAGCTAGAATAATGTGTATTAATTAATGTTCGTAGTTTTTTGTGAGTAAAAAATTATGGCGTGTTGGCTCGCAAAAAATTGCATTCGATTAAAATGTGTTTAGATAGGCCCAGTGGTCGCAGTAGTCTTGTGACCTAGATTGTGATTTAGAGTGTTTCAAAATTAAACATTTTAACTATGTTAACCGTGGTGTACACTATTCCAGAGAGAGTGAAAATGATTGAACTTTATTTAAAAATGGCGATTGTGGAAAGAGAGCCGCAGAACTATTCAATCAACGGTATGCTGACAAACATGTTCCGGGTAAAATTGTAAATGAATTGGTGGCGAAATTTCGGGAAACTGATTCTGTTGAAAATAAGAAGAGGTAGATTGAAAATCCGGTACGAAATGAAGCGGTGGAGATAGCAGTGTTGGGCCAAGTAGCTATGGACAATACGTAAGTATAAGAAAATTGACCGTTGCAACGGGCGTCATGTGTCAGTCGTACAACTGTTTGCAACCCATCCAGTTTCCGAAAATTTATGCACTAAATCCAGGACGTACCGACGCGATGCGGTGTTTTTGTCAGGATGACGATTATGAAGAATATGTGCTGTCTGCCGTGCACAGTCATTATTCTTGTAAAACAAACTTAATTTTTTCCACTTTTTCAGCAATTGTATAAACTATTTTCAGGAATTAAAATCCAATCGACTTTGTGATGATTTTCGGGAGAAGACAAGACGAGACAACATTGTCTCGTTTAAAGCAAAACAAATAAAAGAGTTGAAAGAATATGAAGGTTTTGTATTGACAGATAAACGAAAAATAAAAACAATTTTTTTTAATCGAGGAATTGTTGAAGAATGTCGTCATATAACGCCCAAAATGCTTTGAAATGTTCATTCAGAAGTGGAGCAAATATTTTACTATTGTATGGAAGCAGAGGGAAACCAATTTGAACACTTAAAAAAATAATTTTGTTTCATTTATTACGCCAGGAAAAAGAGCTGGGAAATGACCATTTCACGACTTTTTGTTTCGGCAAGCTGAATATATCACTATAGATGTTAAATATTATGTACAATAACATATTAGTTTCCACAGTCATCAAAAATGGGGGGGAGATTGTTTACAGGCTGGTTAATTGTATAATTTTTACGTAAATTCACGTTTTTCGCTTATAACTTTTTTCCGTTCATTTCCACGAGAAAACAGTAAAGCACTTTTTTTTTCGTCTTCAAAAGACCTATAAAACTAGCCCTCGAGCGTCAAAAAATATTGATTAGATCAAAAGTTATAAACAGAAGAATTGTATTTATGACTTTTGAATTAAACATTTATAAACTGCGTTATTGTTACCAGAACGTTTTGGCATCGCATCCTCTCTTTCCTTATCACTGTCTAATAACTCACACGAAATCTGGAATCGGTAAGTTGAATAGTTTAGAAGTTATGGCCTTATAAACAAATTAACTAATTATTAGTCTGGACGATCCCGAGCATCTTCCACAATCGCACTGATTTTTTTCATGGTAGTTTTCTAATAATACATTGAAATCTATTATTTTTTTTTTAAATTTCAAATTTGCAACCTGGAAAGTATTTTTATTTTTTAGCCTTAGTTGCAAAATGAAATATACGACGCACGCGCGTTATATAGTTATATATTATTACATATTTGGAAAGCTTATGAGAGAGAAATTAAAAATTAAAAACTGATTTTTTTTTGACACGCTCCACTTCGTGACAGAGATGTTTTTTTCCGCAACAAAGAAAACCCGGAGACATAGACATGTTAACCCAGATGTACCATCAAAACCCGGAGATCTGGCAACCCATTTATATAAAACACCCTATTTTTGGCTACAGAATACGCCCCTGGATTTTTGGCCTCTACTCAAGAAACACCCTGTACTATAACGTTATTTATCGCATCTAACTAATAGTAGTGTAACAAGTTTTTTTTGTTAGGTCTGTGTCCCATTGTGAGCGTACAAAAATTCACCAAGGGGTAGACCAGACCAAAATAAGATTAAAATTCCTACAAAATATTTTTCTGCGATGCACTCTCACTGAGTTTCAGGGCGTTGTTTATAAAAAAAATAATATAAACTTTCCGCAATAAACCTCTTTAGGGATATAAGTAATTTTTGGGTGAAATGTACATCCGGGTCCATTTTCGGTGGGAATTCAGGGTATTTCTGAAACTACTAAAGATATGATAAATCTGACAGTACATTCTCTGGCTCGATTTTCATGGCAAGCTCAATTGTCAAATCAGAAATTTGCTATCTTCATTTGTTTCTGAGTTACATGGCGTTTCTCGTTATTGTGACACTTTTGAATATGTCTGTATCTCATCTGTTAAATAAGGTAGAGTTAAAGAGAAAACTGCTCAAGACTAATTCTTTGGCGTAG